TACATATTACACTTCTCATCCCTAAGGAATAATTCGGATACTTTTTTCCCTGTCATACGTTGATGTTTTATTTATATACTGTTGTCTTACTAATTTAATCACTATCATTTCGATGTTTAAAATTTTTTATTAAAATTAAAGTTTCTAGAACAAATTAAGTTTAAAACATTAACTTCTATCGAAGTGACGTCTACGACATCTAGTAACAATTTTTTTAAAATATCATATGATATTTTTAAACATTTACCAGTTTAAAATATAAAAACCAAAAATAAATAAAATGTTTGACTGTGTAAAAAATCACTCAAGAATTTAAAAATTAACCGAAATAAAGAATTTCACTTGAAGATATACGTACATATAAAAGAGTTTTTATTATATAATGTATTTTTAGAATTAAATGTATAAACATAGTTATCGTATTTACGTTAAGTAAGTTGAATTAAATTGGGAAACTAAAAGTTGTAATAAAAAATTTTAACTATGAATTTTGTGAATAAATTACTAAGAAATAATGTATTGGATTTAATATTAACTATGGTTTTTTTAGAAGATTGTTGTACCCTGCACGACTTGTTAACTTATTAAAATAAAATCTTTTGTTAAGCATCCTTTATTTATATATTTTTATTTATATGTTTAAGTAATCAATAATAGTATAATTAGTTTAACTTGAAACACTAAAATTTTATCAAAGTAGTTAACACGAGGTTTGGATATGATGTTCTGAATATTACTTCTTTCTATATTTTCGCAATTTTTTTTATTTTTTTGCTTTCACTTAACTTAAAATGTTTTCTCTTTTCAAATCATTTTTGTTCCCACTTTATTTACTCTTCTATTTATTATACAGTCATTTAATACTAATTGATTTCCATCTTCCTAAACACGCCATCACTATTACTTTTCACCCATATTATCTTTTCTTCTTAGTTCCAACATTCCTTCCTTTTTTGTTTAAATACCTCTTTTGATTTAAATTTCTAATTTCGATTATCCAAATTTTGTTTCAATTTCTTTCCTTTCAAAATCTATATTTGTACCTAATTTTTGTAAAATATTATTTTCAAATATCACTTCTTGATTTAAACATTTAACCACAATATTGTTAATTGAGTTTCATATATATTAAATTTCATTTCTACTTCTACATTTTCTTAAATTTCATCCTTTTCGCTTGTTTTTTTATTATTAATTATCACAACATCATCAGCTGATGATGTGACTAGTTTCAATTAGTCAATTGAAACATGTGATAATTGGTTTAACTGTTTTTTAAGCATTTAAGGAAAAAAAATCTAAATAAATTATCTTGAACAAAGATTCAAATTTTATTAAAGTTACAAACACCCCAATTACCCATGCGGGACATAAGATTTTGGTACCAAAGCCATGCACACTTTGCAAAAACCACAATCAGATTATTATAACAGAAGAATAATTTAATACGTCGACATTGAAATGTTTTATAATCAATACAAGCAGTTTAAATATAGAAAGTAACAAATTAAATCAATATGTTAGGGTTAGAGGAAAAATTTCTAGGTTTCCATTAGAGGAACAACCAATATTTGAAATTTATAAACTAACAAATACAACGCCTCATGAAGTTTCTGATTAAATAGAGGCATTTAAACACCTGCAAATTAATTGTGAGTGGTCAGAAGTTCAAGCAACTTCAATTATAAGTACTCTTATGACATCTGATATCTACAAGATCGTTTCAAATAAACGTACCAACTACAACAATGTTAGAAGCATTAAGAAACCATGTGTTTCCAGAAAACCATTACTTTGCACATATGGGTAAATTAGAAGAAATAAGATTAAAGCAAATCTGGATCACTTACTTAATATTTAAAAGATCTAGATATACGAACTAACAATTGTAATATGTGTCTAGAAAAGAAACATCAAATACAGGATCGTGAGAAATTCGATATATTCTATAAAGGGTTATATGTTTATCAAAAGGAAGCAATAAGACTGCAGAATTGCCGTTGTAATTGAAGAAGTGGTTAAGTTGATAGAATATTTATCTACCCCTAAGAAATTTAATCATGAAGTTGATAATATTAGGGAAGATAAAACAAATGATATTCATACAAACAAAGGTAAAACTAAGAAGAAACAGTATTTTAAATACCATAAATGGTGCAATTATGTTACTAAAGACTGTGAAAAGTATCAAACATTTATGGCTGAAAAAAAGAAACAGTCTAATCAAACTTTAGCACTTTGTGAAATAAAACCAATGCTACCACAAGTAATGATTAACGCTTTAATTAATGATCTGGACAATTCATTTACCATAGATACAGAATCAGTGGAATCAATTTTATCTAGAACTAATACACAAAAATTGATGTTAAAAATTACTAAAAATGAAAAAATTCACAATATTCAAGTCGCAAATGGCGAGTTTATTAAACTATCTGAAAAACCCGTCGGTAAAATGCGATTTTATGAATATACTAAGGCAGAGTATGATGTTGAATTTCTAATAGCTGAAAAGTTTGTTAATAATACTATATTAAGAATTAAATTTTTAGAAAAGTATAATGTTAATATTATACTTAGTGAAAGATATTTACAATTTCCAACATTCAACGTAAACCTAACTACACCAACAACTTCACTTTCATTACCAGACTTAGAATTAAGTGATAAAGTCAAGTGTATGCTAACACAACAAGATGTGGTTATTGATATGATTAATGAATTTGTTGAACACTCTCCAGAATTAGAAGAAATTAATAATTTTGAACATTCAATAATACTGAAACCCAGTGCAGTTTTTACATCAAAACCATATTCAATTCCTATGGCTTTAGTAGAGCAATTTAAAGATAAATTAAAAACTTCTTAAAGCTAATGTAATAAAAAGAAGTTGTATTCATATTTTATCACCTTGTTTTCCAATTGAGAAAAAGAACAAAGACATCCGATTTATGGTTGATTACAGGAAACTAAATTCAAATATCATTTAAATAAATTACTTAATTCCTAATACAGCTGATCAAGTACGTATACTATATAGTTGTAAAGTTTTTTCAAAGTTATATTTAAATTCTGATTATTACCAGATTAAAGTTAAAAACAGATAAGCATAAAACAGCATTTATTACTCTATATGGAACTTATGATTTTTTAAGAATGCCTATTAATTTAGCTTGTGCACTAGGAACATTTTAACGAGCAATGAATGACTTATTTAGTGAGTTGGATTTCGTCAAGGTGTATTTGGATGATATATTAATTTGTTTAGCTTCTGAAGCTAATCATTGATCACATTAGAAGGTGTTAAAAATTTTAAAAGAAAATAACGTTACAATTAATAAAGAGAAGTGTAAATTCAATAAAACAGAAATAGAATATTTAGTACACTTAGTAGATTCTGAAGGTATTAGACATATAATTACAAATCTATTTAAAAACATTGAATTCAAGATGTCAAAGACTAAAAAACAGGTTTAGAAAATGGTTAAATTTCTAAATTGATTTAGGAATTTTATTAAAGATTTTTCATCAAAAATATCTCTGATTACAGAACTTACTAAAAAGAATATATATTTTAAATGGATACAAAAGCAAAGTGATGTAATAAACAGTTTATTAAATGAAATAAGGAATGCTAATAAGCTTTATTACCCTGAAATAACTAAACTATATGAGTTTTTAATTGATGCTTGTGATATTGGTATAGGTGCTATATTAAAACAGGGTATAAAAATTTTTCTATTTTTAGTAAACGATTAAATACAGCCCAGAAGAATTATATTGTATCTGAAAAAGAGGCTTTAGCAGTTCTAGAAGCACTCAATTATTTTAAGAATACAATTTATAAGTCAAAAATAACAGTGTATACAGACCATTCAAATCTAAAGTTTTTAAATATTTCAAAACTTCAAAGGATACAACGATAGAGGCTTATTATTAAAGAATTTGATATAGAGATAGTATATTTAAAAGAAGATAAAGACATAGCAGCTGATTTTTTATTCAGAAGTTATTAAGTAACTTCTTTTGAAACAGAGGCGAATTCTACTAAAGACATAATTAGTATTAATATAAAGAGTTAATACATCTAGGTTCTCAAAAATTTTTTAACACTATTAGGCATGTTTTTCCAAATTTAACAAGGGAAATGATAGAAAACTACACAAACAGTTGTGAAACTTATCAATTAAATAAAAAGTATAATTTAAGATATGGATTATTACAAGGGAAAATTGAAGTGTGTAATCCCTGGAATACTATAACACTAGATATTGTAGGGCCATTAAACTTTACTGAAGGAGATAAACATTGGCTTTTGCATATAATAGACTATGGATCAAGACTTACTGAGTTATTCGTTCTATCCAAAATAACAACAAATGTAGTTGCAAAACTCTTTGAGAATAACTAGCTACTTAAATATTCATTACCAGAAAAAGTAATATCTGATATGGACTACGGTTTACATCAAAGAAGTTTGAAAGAATACTATAACATTATGGAATAAAGCACCATAGAACAATTCCATTTTATCCTCAGTAAAATTCGCATATAGAAAAGTCAGATAGTGAGATTTTTTCTGGTTTAAGGTGTACTAATGAGAAAAATCTAAAAAAAGTGTATTAAAGGTAAATATGGCTTATAATTCAACTTATCATCCCACTTTAGGTTGTACACCTTTTGAATTAACATTTAGAAGATCTAAATACGATTTTAACAATATGGTGAATACTACTGAACTTCTTTTAAAGGCTAATAGAAGAAAAGAAAAAAATTCTGAAAAAGGTTTAGAGAAGAAAAATTAAAAAATTCAATGAATTTTACTGATAAGTATGTATATGTTAGGAATAAAGATGTTGGAAACTAAATTCCAAAATTTCTGGATCCTTTAAAGTTATTGAAGATTGTCCAATGTTTAATGTAGTAACAATGGATGTAAAAAGGAAAATCATAGATATTTTTATAGAGATATTAAACTTCTTAAAGATGAGGAGGATGTCACACCGGGATCAGCCGATGATGTGACTAGTTTCAATTAGTCAATTAAAATATATGATAATTAGTTTAACTTCTTTTTAAGTATTTAAAGAAAAAATTTAAATAAATTATTATTAACAAAAATTTAAATTTTATTAAAGTTACAAACAACCCAATTAACCATACGGGGCAAGACACCATCAATTTTATTATAAATAAGATTTTGATTATTTAACCTTTTAATTTGAATTTTTTAAAAATTTTAAATCATATCTTTTATATAATCAACTTTTAAAAATTTTACCCAAAAAATGACCAATCAACACCATTATTATAACAATAATCCACAATTAGGTCAACAATCTCCATTTAACAACCAATTTCAATTTAATAAACTACCACAACAGATAGAAAATGAAAGGCTTACTTGTTTTCATATGTATAGAATGTTAATTAAATGGATGACATATATTTTAATAGTATTGTTTCTAGTCCTTTTGTTTTTTGATTATTTAGAGAGAAAAGGTTATAGAGCTTATTACACAGAACCTTTTGGAAACGTATTTTTAATATATCTCTATATATATCTATGTCTTTATTTCTTATATTTTTTATTATCTTGTTGTAATGATAATAAAAATATAATAAAATAATTACAGTAAATAGTGTAAGCTATGTTGAAAATGCATAGGATGATGATGACAAGATAAACAAGGGTATTAATTGCCTTAGTTGTTTGCTTTTTCCCCCTTTTTGCGTTCCAAAAAGCAGAAAGAGCATAAATAATAAAATTTAATTACAGAATTTTTTAATTTAAATTTAATAGATTAAGTTTTTGATTGGCTTGTAATTTCAGATCACGAATTTTTTTTAATTTTCTAAATCCTCATTATCTTATCGCATTAATACAAATAAATAATTATTTAATGATATAATTTTATTCAGAATAGTATTCTAATTTTTCGAAAAATATTCTACATTATACTGTAATTATCTGGTAACAATGTTTTTATAATATCATATGATATTTTTAAACATTTACCAGTTTAAAATATAAAAACCAAAAATAAATAAAATGCTATTACAGTTTGAAATAAATGATGTTATTGTTTCAGAAAATATTATAAAAGGAAGTTAAAATAAATAATTCTTGTTTCATAAAAGAATTATATTATAAAAACAACATTGATAATAAGAGTGATAGAAGTAGAAAATGTATATAACAAAACAATTTTTTATCTTTAAAAAACTGGCAATGAGGTTAGTGCACCCTAAGTGTACGATAAGTATAATAAAATTAATTTAATAAATGTTTTTGATATTTTTAAATTTAATAATGGTTTTAAGTATAAAAACATGTTATTAAACACAAAATTTATTCTTTCATATTATTTAAAAACGAGACTTGTTTTTGTTAAAATATTATGTAAACAAAATAACAAAGAAAAATAATTTCTTTAAATAAAAAAATGTTTGACTGTGTAAAAAATTACTTATAAATTTAAAAATTAACCGAAATAAAGAATTTCACTTGAAAATATACGTACATATAAAAGAGTTTTTATTTGCATTGTATTATCAGAATCAAAGGTATAAACAAAGTTATTGTACTTCCGTTAAATATGTTGAATTAAATTGAGAAACTAAAAGTTGTAATAAAAAATTTTACCAATAAATTTAGTGAATAAGTTACTAAGAAATAATGTATTAGATTTAATATTAGCTGTAGTGTATTAGGAGATGATTATAAAAGCTTATCTTTTACCCTTACATGTGAAGTAAATCGTGATGTAATGGAACTTACAACAATGTTAATAATAATTCTAATTTAAACATGGATAATCCATTTAATTCATTATTCAAATCTATTGTAAACCTGATAGTAATTTTAGTAACAAAATGAATTTTTATAAAATTTTTTTACAGAATTTAAGCCCTGTTTATTAAAAAATATTCTGTTTTAAGTGTAACTAAAATAATCTTTAAAATTGAAAATAACAATAGATTATAAAAAATTAAAAGAAATAAATCATTTTCAAGTACCTGTACATCAACTTTAATATTATAATCATTTTTAGTATAATAATATTTTTTTTCAGATGTTTACTAAATTAATGAAGTGGTTTACATGTTTTATAATAATAAAAGAATTATTAATATTATATATCTTTATAAAATAGAAGTAATAAAGAATAATATATATCATTATAGAGAGAAACTAGATGATGATTATAATATAAAATAAAAAATCATTTAAGATCTTTATTTCTAAAAGTAAAAATTAAAAACATAACTTGTTTAAATAGAATTATTATTGTCAAAATTACCAGGGAATATAGAAATTATTTTGTTTATTTAGAATTTTTATATAGATATATTACATCCTTCTAGTATAATGATTTATTCTCAATCTTTAATAATATGTTTTTTTTTATCACATCAACCATATCTTTTATTTGGTTTAAAAAAGTAATAATGAAATAATTTTTATATAAAAGAATTAGTAATGTTAACAAAACACACAATCAACTTGTAGCAAGTTAAGATAACTTTAATTAAAAATAAATGTTTATAAGTTTAAAGGTTAAATTATTTTCTGTATATAAATTTAAAGTATAAAATTTAATTTTTTTTACTTAAAAAATTTTAATTTAAATTCAGTATGTAAATTCTTATTTATTAAACCTAAAATAATAAAAAGAATATCTTTTTTAAAAAAATTGCTTATTGATTATTAAATAAACAAATTAAAATAATAAATCTATATTAACCCAGTATATAAGCATGCTTAGTGATATTAATCATCAAAAAATATAATAAAAAATTTTTATAATAAAATTCATTTATTAG